TTGTAAATTTATTTTATTATACTTGTGGGTCATATTGAGGTCTCGTAAAACTCAATATTGTATAAAGATCGGTGTTCATTGTTTGTAAGTCATTGAAAGCGTTTATAAATGGTTGGATTGCACCATAAGTCAATCCATATATTGAAAAAGAGAACGTAGATCATTGATTTGGATCAAGCCTCCACAACTATATTGTTTGCATAATCTCTTCCTTCTTACTTATCGTTTTAATATTTGTGCTTATAATTTGAATTAATCTATTTAGTCTTTATTGAATTTAGATTAATTCTTTGAAGAAAATTTGAAAAACAATTTGCCTCCTCATGGTTAGTTATTCTTGGGCTTTCAATTGGTATCAGAGTTAGGTTCTCATTTTTTAAGATTTCACAATCTTACGTAATGGCTAACCATATTCTTCAAAACATTGAGAGGGCATTCTACAAATCATCCTCCTTTTTTTATGGCACACATTATAATTATTGGAAAGCTAATATGATGATTAATGTTCAATATATAGATTATAATGTTTGGAAAATCATTGAATTTGGGTTCCTATGTACTTAAAAAGGTTATTAAAGAGGATGGTAAATCAGATCAAATAATTTCAAAATCTAGAGAGGAATGTGAAGAAGAAGATAAAAGAAAAGTATCATTGAATGCTAGAGCCAAAAATATACTTTATTATGCCTTAGATAAGAATGAATTCAATTGTATTAATACATGTGATTTCGCTATTGATATATGGCATGCTTTAGAAGTTACACATATGGATGTTAGCAAAGTGATAGAAACCAAACTACATAATTTGATTAAGGAATTTGCAAATTTCTTTATAAAACAAAATGAACCTATTATTTATATAACCACTCTTTTCACCAATATTGTTAATGGCCTCAAAGGGTTTGATAGGAAATTTACGAACATTAAACTTGTGAGTAAAATGCTTAGGTCTCTCTTGGATGATTCGAGCTCGTTAAGAATGTTAATAGAAAACACCAAAAATCTTAACACATATCCATTAGAAGAGCTCTATGGAACATTAATGACATATGAGTCAAATCGCACCAAGATAAAGGAAAAAACAACGAAAAACATAAAAGAAGAAAAGCCCCAAATTGCTTTAAATTCGGTAATGGATGAAGGCACTTCAAGCAAAAATACGAATGATGAAGAACTTGATGACCTAGTTATTCTTGTAAAAAAATTGGAGGAGATTTCGTAACAACTGACGATTTCAAAAGAAAGAAGAAAAATGGCAAAGAGAAAAGTAATAAAATTGTTTGCTATGATTGTGACAAGCCCAACATAAGAAAATCGAGCGTCCAAAAATTATTTTGTCAATGACTTGCCAAATTTAGAATTTGAGAAAGATAAAATTTGTGATGTTTGTCAATTTAGAAAATAAGTGAAGACCTCTTTTCAAATTCTTCAACTACAAGATTTTTTATAACTTCTCGATATAAATCTTTTTGGACCATTTAAAACTGTAAGGTTAAGTGGTAAACATCACGCTTTCATCATTGCTAATGTCTTCTTTAAATTTACTTGAGTTCTATTTTTGAATCTAAAAGATAAAGCTTTGAATACATTTAAATTTTTTTAAAAGGTTCAAAAATAAAAAAGGGGTACACTGTTAATACAATTTAGTGTGATCTTGGTGTAGAATATTGACAATATTGCTTGTGATGATTTTTGCAAAACTTATGGTTATGAGCATAATTTCTTGACTCCTAGAACTCATCAACAAAATGATGTAGTGAAAGGAAGAACCACACATTGTAAAAAAAAAAATAGTTTATAAAAATATTTTCGAGCCAATGCCGTTAACACCGATTGCTATATTATGATTAGAGTCTTGGTTAATTGACGGAAAATCGAAACTCCATACGAAATTTGAAAAATAGAGTTCTCTATATCGGTTACCATAAAGTTTTGATTGTAAATATTTTATCTTGAACACTAAAGAAAATTTGATTCAAAGTTTCATATTGAAATCCTTCTTCAATATTCATCAACTAGCAAGGCTTATAGAGTTCTCATTTTTAACAATAGAACTTTAGTCGTTTAAAAATCTATGCATGTAATATTTGATGAAACTAATACTCTTGATCAAGAGAAATGTGTTGTTAATGATGTAGGTTTGAAGATTCCTTTTGAGCAAATGCACATTTGAAACAAAGAAGATTCTGATGATGTTGAAAATCAATATGAGGAAGAAGCAAATGTGCAACAAGATGAAGAAGAATCTTCCAAAGTACAAAGTGATTGATCTCTATCTAAGGATTGGAGTCAAACAAAATACATCATGAAAATGCTTAATAAGTTTGAAAATGAAAGAGTTGAAATCAATGAACACCCCCAATGAGCTTATCAGTCAAATTGGACAAAGATGATCAAGATACTTCCATAGGTATGACAAAATATCAAGGTATGATTGTATCTCTCCTTTATTTAATCGCAAGTAGACTTGACATTATGTTTGGTGTGTGATTATGTGCTAGATTTCAACCCAATGCTCAAGAATCACACCTTAGCGTTGTAAAATGAATTTTTAATCCATCTTAAGTATCACCTAGACATTAAGTCTATGATATCCTAAAGGCACCCTAAAAGGGGATATTGTATTAGAATATGTGAATACGAAAAATTGATTGATGATTGTCAAAAGATCAAAAGCTATTATCATATTAGGATTTATGAAGAAGGTCAAGATCGAAGTCACACATTCAAGATCTTCATATTGAAAACTTTGATTATTGAATCAAACTTGTAAACTCATCATATTCATCAAAATGTTTCATTTATCTCTTAATGCTTAATTTATTACAATCATTCATTAAAAAGAGTGATATATATTAAGAAATTTTCGAACTTACATTACATTTATTTGTTTTTCATCTTCTCACTGAAAAATTTTGATTGATTGAATTAAACTTTGAAATCATTATATTCATCAAAGTTTTCTCATTTTACACTTGAGCTATCATTTCCTACTATTCATTGAAGTGTTACTCTCTCTTAGTACTTTATTCATTTATATCATTTAATCAAGAGAAGAGTTCATTGTAAATTTATTTGGTTATATTTGTGTATCATATTGAGGTCCCATAAAGTTAAATAGTGTGGGTCATATTAAGGTCCCGTAAAGCTTAATATTGTATAAGGATCGATGCTTATTGTTTGGAATTCAACCGAAGTCTTGTAAGCGGTTGGATTTGCACCATTGGTCAATCAATATAGTGAAAAGGCTTTGCTCGTACAAGAGAGCTTAATAACGAATGATGTAGATCATTGTTTTGAATCGAACCTCTACAATTACATCGTTTGCATCATTTCTTCCATTTTACTTATTGTTTTCATATCTGAGCTTATTATTTCAATTAGTCTATTTAGTCTTTATTTGCTTAAATTTAGTTTAATTTTTTGAAAAAAATTTAAAAACCAATTTACCCCTCTCTTTGTTAATTATTCTTGGGCATTTATTAATGATGTTCAGTATTAAGTACAAGTATCTCTAAAAGTAACAAAGATGCTAGAAGAATTTCACCTAAATGAACTTTGAGTTGGTATCGCCTCAATAGAAAGTTAGAGTTTCTCTTTTAAAGTTTAACGAATAGGGTGAGTGCAATGCCATATTAACACTAAGCGAGATTGGGAAACTTGTAAACACATGACATGTGTGTGTGTGTGTGTGTGTGTGTGTTTTCACTTGTATTATCAAAAGAAATAGTTGGTTCAAAGCTATCATGCTACCTTTAATTTTGATTATGCTTTGTGAGAATTACACCATGGTTAGATTCAAATTGAAAACATATCTAATCCGTATGCATAAATGTTGCTACCTTTGAACATTGTACATTATACAATTAAACAAGTGGAAGATTGTTGTAATTTGATGTTCAATTTATAATGATGAATATACTGGAATGATAATGCATCTATATGGGTGTGATGAATGAGTGTAAAAATACAAAAACCAAAATGGGAAGAAAAAACAGAAGAGCTAAAATTTTGGTCCAAGTGAGTGCCAAACGTTGCTTTCAATAACCTTGGTCTGAGCAATCGCTCGATTTGTACTGGGAAATTGTTCAAGCCAATTTTCTAACGATTGGATTTGAAATTATTTGTTTTCTTTCAGCTCATTTTCATGAGAAAAAAATGCATGTTTTTACGAATCTTTGAGACCTTTTTCACACTGTATGATTGAAAATATATATACAGGAATGATCTCTTAAGTACCGGTATTTAGTTTAGGTTAAGCACCGTGACATGACAAACCATTTAATTGATGAATTATTAAATACACGGGACCTATCATTAATTTATTTACCAATTAAATAGTTTGCTATGTCACTGATACTTAACATAAACTAAGCACTGTTGCTTAAAAGATCATTTCCGTATATATATTATTACACCAACAATAATTGAAATCATTCCATTCATTGAGAATTTAAAAAAAAATCTCTTTATCATCTTTTTTATCATTTTTCAAAGTTCAAGGAGAAAACACAAGTATTTAGTGTCTTTCTTATCATAAGGTTTATTAAATCCTATAAATCATTTGTCAGGAGTCCTTTTAAACATAAAAAATAATCTTAAGAGAGGACAAATTTAGTTTGAAGGCAACGATTACACATTAAGTCAATTTTCAATATTTCTCCTTCTTTGTTTCTTTTCTCTATTCCCTCGTGAGGATCAAAATTTTCCAACAAAATAGCTGTCTAATCATTCTTGGTCATATTCTTTTGTTTCTAATTGTATTACGAAGATTCAATTTCAATAGTAGTTGATATTATTACTTCTTTATTCTATTTGTATCTCGTAAATACTTAAAAAAATTCAAATAATGTAGAGGGGAAAAATGTTTTTAATTTTGTTTTAACGAAAAAAATGCAAAGAAAGATTATGAAATGCAAATCATAACTAGAAATAAACTAATGTTCTATAATTACAAGCAAAATTTAGAGAAATAAATAATCAAATTAGAGAAGAAAAAGTCAAGAAAAAGGAGAAAATGCAAATCATAACTCAAATGTATTTTTACAATTTGTAGATAATGAGAAAACAAGGCAATAAGGCACGTGTATCAAACACCAGTAACTCGCCATTCTCCTTACTCACCGAGTCGTACCGATCTCGACCTTCCAGCAACGAGTCAAACCCGAGTTGCTTGCCAATCCGACCAGCTATAACTCGGCATACTAACATGGCCCGCCTTCCCCTGCCACCACCGGCACTTTCGTGAGCCTCACCACTCCCAGAATATGTACAAATCGCCGCGCCTTTCCGGCCGTGAAATGACCAAGCGCCACCACCCGAATCATACGCGCCGCCGTTGGTGGGTCCCAGGCAGTAGAATCTCATCACTTCATTTCCATCAGCAACGCAACGAGCGTGGTCATCACCGAAGGCAGCACCACTTCCTGAACTCGCCTTGGATTTCACCATCTCTCTATACTCCTCAAACCGGGTCACAGTCCGGGCCAAATTCTGCACTTTAAAAATCGTTTCAATCTCACCAGAGTAATTTTTCGGCCCCCAGCTCGTATGAAAGATAATCTCCACCACATTACGTGAAGGGTACCCCACCGAAAGCTCAGTGAGGGCAGGGAAAAAAGTATCTGTAACATGCGACGGCCGGGTGGAAACCGTGGTGCGTGTTCTATTGGTGGGATGGTGTGCACTGGGTTCGGGTTTTCTTGAAACGGGTTTTTTGGATTTCGTGACTGTATCTTTGGTGGTGGAATTTGTGCAGTTGGCAGAGGTCGTTAACCGGTGGTAGTGGTGAATTTTGGAACTGTTATGGTGGTTGTTACGGCGGAGGTGGTGATTCTCAATGACGTCGTCCGATGCTTTTGACTTGCAATTCAATGACTTCATCCATCCAGTCGCCATTAACGATCGTCCCTTCACCCTTCTTCTTCTCTCTCTCCAGTTTCAATCTGTATCTATCGTATGCAAGTATACCCCCCTCTCTCTCTCTCTCTCTCTCTCTCTCTCTCTACCTCTACCCTTAATATGAGGTTTTAACGAGGTGGAAAGGAATGAAATGGAGAGGACATGGCGCGATATAGAGTGAGAACTATATTATTTTAAATGACGAGAATACCCATTGGGATATTCTTCCCCCATTTGACCCCTACTTTTTTTAAATGAAAATACGTCGAATAGTATTTATTTGAAAAATGAGTGATTAAAAAAGAAGAAAAAAATTTCGATTTAAGTTCATTATTTTATAGGAGATTGTGTGATTGAAAATACGAAAGAGAAAAATAGAATATAATGAAATTTAATGTAATGAGAAGGAAAAATTTTTAATTTACGTGTAATATTATTTTTTGTCTCTTCGATCTGAGACACTGGATAGAAATTTAGCCCAACTAAACTCAAAAATTTTCATTCTTTTTTCCTTTCCGGCCGTGAAATGACCAAGCGCCACCACCCGAATCATACGCGCCGCCGTTGGTGGGTCCCAGGCAGTAGAATCTCATCACTTCATTTCCATCAGCAACGCAACGAGCGTGGTCATCACCGAAGGCAGCACCACTTCCTGAACTCGCCTTGGATTTCACCATCTCTCTATACTCCTCAAACCGGGTCACAGTCCGGGCCAAATTCTGCACTTTAAAAATCGTTTCAATCTCACCAGAGTAATTTTTCGGCCCCCAGCTCGTATGAAAGATAATCTCCACCACATTACGTGAAGGGTACCCCACCGAAAGCTCAGTGAGGGCAGGGAAAAAAGTATCTGTAACATGCGACGGCCGGGTGGAAACCGTGGTGCGTGTTCTATTGGTGGGATGGTGTGCACTGGGTTCGGGTTTTCTTGAAACGGGTTTTTTGGATTTCGTGACTGTATCTTTGGTGGTGGAATTTGTGCAGTTGGCAGAGGTCGTTAACCGGTGGTAGTGGTGAATTTTGGAACTGTTATGGTGGTTGTTACGGCGGAGGGGGTGATTCTCAATGACGTCGTCCGATGCTTTTGACTTGCAATTCAATGACTTCATCCATCCAGTCGCCATTAACGATCGTCCCTTCACCCTTCTTCTTCTCTCTCTCCAGTTTCAATCTGTATCTATCGTATGCAAGTATACCCCTCTCTCTCTCTCTCTCTCTCTCTCTCTCTCTACCCTTAATATGAGGTTTTAACGAGGTGGAAAGGAATGAAATGGAGAGGACATGGCGCGATATAGAGTGAGAACTATATTATTTTAAATGACGAGAATACCCATTGGGATATTCTTCCCCCATTTGACCCCTACTTTTTTGAAATGGAAATACGTCGAATAGTGTTTATTTGAAAAATGAGTGATTGAAAAAGAAAAAAAAAATTCGATTTAAGTTCATTATTTTATAGAAGATTGTATGATTGAAAATAAAAAAGAGAAAAATAGAATATAATGAAATTTAATGTAATGAGAAGGAAAAATTTTTAATTTACGTGTAATATTATTTTTTGTCTCTTCGATCTGAGACACTGGATAGAAATTTAGCCCAACTAAACTCAAAAATTTTCATTCTTTTTTAATTACACATTCTTCATAAAATTACTATTTCAATATAATTATTATTTTTTATTTATTAATATTAATATATATATTTTTTTCAAAACCTCATTATAATGAAGCCTAACAAGAGCTTAGTAAAGTACAAATTTCATCAACACAATTGACTCGATAGAAGACTTCATATATAATTATTAATTACATCAATAATAATCTAATATTATATTAGAAGTGTTTGGATGTTTCTTATCGTATGTCTAGTATTTTATATAATCGCTTGATAATAATAACATAATTTTTTTCGTCTCCTTGAATTTTTTGAAAAAAATTTTATTTTACCATTTTGATCACCTAATTCTACAGAACAATATATTCACTACCACGTGTACCTCCCCTCAAACATCTTCCCTTATAAATGTACCTTAAATGCTTTCGTTAGAAGGAAAATACTTTTTACACATAACTATTTATATAATGATAATGTATCAAAATGTAATTGAAAATGTTATTTAATTGATTAAATTTTAACTCCATTAAATCTAATAACATCATCTATTGGTAAATCATTATGTAAATTATTATACACGTATAGCGCAACCCTATTAATGATGATATGAAGACGTATTGGGTTATAAGTAGGTGGAGGGAATGTGAGGGAACAAGAGAAAAGAACACGTGAAGTTATGAAGAGGGTGAAGAGTGATAGGTAAGAATGGTAATAGGTGCAAGCCGCTTGTCATTTGTATCATCGGCATCTTGGCTCAAGTCATAATCGCGCCGTACGGCAAAACGACCAAATCAAAAATTCTATGCGAGTTGCATGTTAACTTGCAATATCGATCTGCGAGCTATACAAATTGGCCCACTGAGAAGGCTCACAAGCTAATTTATGGCTCACCATAGGTGCTAAAGAAAAAAATTAATGGGACGAATCGAGCTCAAAAATTTTAGTCGACATGATCCATTGAAATCCCTTGTCACAAGCAACGGAAGAAGGGTGGTTGGTGAGGCCGTGGTGGCGAGTATTATTGATACAAAGATGAATTTGACAGTGTAATGTAGATTTACTATATTAGTTCTCCAAATGTTAGAGCATTTTTAAAGGACTCTTTAAAATTGACATGCTATTTATTTTAAAGAGTAAAACTTTAAAACTAGACTCCAAAAAATAAATAAATAAATTATTTTAACTTTATAAAATAGAGTGAGTTTGACTCTTTGTTTGTATTTTTATCAAAATTGCAAGGTTCAACCATCCACTACTCAAAGTTATTCATACTATATTATATATTATAGCTCAACACACACACACACACATGCATGCGCGTGCACGTAGCTTAATGCACACACACAAATGATCTTCTAAGCACCGCTGCTTAGCTTATGTTAAGCATCGATGACATGACACATTATTTAATTGATGAATAAGTTAATGGTAAGTCTCATGTATTTAATGATTCACCAGTTATATAATGAGTCATGTTACCGGTGCGTAACATAAGCTAATCACCGATACTTAGGAGATCATATATATATTATTGGGTATTAATGATATAACTAAATGGTCATTAAATGTTTGAGAATTAAGATTCGTTTAAATTTTAATTGTAAGTCAAATCAAAACGGTACGGGGATCATTCAAAGCAAGATTTGCTAGAATTAATATTTCAAAAATTACCATAAAAATGCTATAATACATTTTACTAAAATTGTCACCCAACTTAGAGGTTTATTTCATGTTGGTCACTGAACTTTCATTTTATATATATTTAATCACCCAAGTAATGTCACCAAATACATAAGTTGGATCATTAATTCTATTGGCTAGAATGCTAATTCCATAGTTTTCGGTAAAGGTTATAGAAGGAATTGTAAACTTTAAACAAAAAAAAATGTTGTATGACTACATTGAAATAAATTAAACGTGAGAGACCAACATGAAACAAAATTATTAGTTGTATGACTTGAAGAGAAATTTCCACATACATCCTACAAAATGGCTTATTATTATTATTATTATTATTATTATTATTATTATTATTATTATTATTATTATTATTATTTTCAATTAATACATCTGACTATATAATCGACCGTTGATATTTGTTTTATTTCTTGCCATCATTGCTTATCTTGCAGTTTAATTGACGTATATACTCTCATTTCTCATGTGCTCCATAAATTATAATAAAGAATAATACAATGAGTTTTATTGTTAATAAATTTGGCTTCAATTATATTATATATTTGTGTTAAAATGAATTTTCAATCTAATAAAAACTTGAATAAAAATCAATCTAGTTTAGTTTATACAAATTCAATGATCATTGTACACTGTAATGAAATAGGGTCGTGTTGCATTTGATCGCCTAAAACTCGAGTATTCAATGGAGCTAAATTCAATTTTGTTGATCATTCAAGAAAATCTTCACTAACTTGAATGCCAAAAATACCATGGGGGATTATCGTTCCTCCCACAGTTATACTCTAATGCTATTAATTGCAATCTTTCGGTGGTATCGAACAAAATGGCTAACAATATATTGAGTCCCGTTTGATACCCATTTTTGTAAGAATCGTTACAAAACCCATGCAGGAGATAGAAAGTCAAATATGATGGCTTGATGTGATGAATAATGAGCATATTTTTCATTTTTATGGACAAAGAATGGGAATCAAACGGAGGCTGACCGATGAATATTGATGGTATATTATCGATTGATTTTACTGATAAAAAAAAAAAAAAAAAATCTGGTCAAAGAACTCAAAATCATAATTAATGTACCTAAATGTAGGGTTGGTTGATATTTATTCAAGGCCAATTGTATTGAAAGCTTGTTCTTTCTAACTAACTTGAATGCTGTCTACCTTTTTGTTCCTTACAGAAAAAGCAAGAAATCGGCTTGATAATGTGTCTTCTTGGTAAAACTGAGATTTCAAGCATGATTTCATTCTTGAAAGATTGTTTTGCTACGTTTGCCCATTATATATTTTCTTCGGAATTTTTAATAAGAGAAAAAATCGTAGTCATGATCCTCAACGTTTAAGATTATTAGCCCTTGAATCATTCGCCTTTTTTCTTTATTGTTGAAAACAAAATATAAATGACTATAGTACTCGATTTCTAATGTTTAAGCATTTAGAAGATATGGTAAACATTGTACGCTTTCAGATAAAAAACTTTGATTCAATATTTTATTGTTATCCAATTATTAAAAATGATGCACATATCTGTATTTGAGAGAGTGTGTGGAAAGCAAAATTTCATATACAAGTAAAGCTACAAATGTCGAAAATTGGGCACATTTCAGGTTTTTGAGGAAGGTTTCTATCAAAATGGGCAATAAATATAATGAAAAAAAGTTAATTTTACCTATTCAAATAAACAAGGCAAATAAAATAGAAATGGTAAAAATTTAAAACAATAGAAAGAAAGGGAAAAAATAAAAAAATAATAAAAAATAAAAAATCCTCCATCTACTCTAGGTTCTTTCTCTGAAGGTCGAGGACCGTAGCTGCAATTTTCTTCATTTTCTAATCCTCGTACTTCCCAAAAATATAGGAAATTGTTATGTGAAACGTATTTCTTCACTAACTTCGTATGCGATCCATATTTATAAAAAAATAAAAGTAATCAAAGAAAGAATCTTTTATGAGAGTTTGAAAACAAACAGATAAGGTGGGAATAGAAGAACAGACAGAGTCAAAAAGAATAAAACCTGGCCAAAAGATAAAAGAATACTTCTCAAAAGCACTGACTCTGCGAGTGAACAATAGTCACAAATTGAAATCCACTTTTATTATTTTTATTTTTATTTATTTAATTTTTTTTTTTTTGGATGTTATCTAGGAGTAGGAGACAATTGACACTAAACTAAGGTACCAAACTGTTCAAAAAATATGGCGTTTTCTTTGGGAGAATGGTCCATAGTTGCATTTTAAGGGGACAACAATGATATTTTCAATAAGACAATTATCAAAATTTGTCCAACAATCGTTAGATCAAAATTTTATTAATTTTCCCCTCATAAGTGATTGAGTTAGTGGAATAGATGAACACGAAAACCTTTGGTCACATGTTCGATTATTCCTACCAATACTTTCTCTGTCGAGCATATCGCACTGAACTTGTCTAGTGCGGTTTATCTGACTAGCGTGATTTGCAGGCTATTGTGTCAGTTCGAGAGTTTATTCAGTGCGCACCCGAAGGGTAGCGACTGTGGGTTCCTCTGTAAAAAAAAATAATAATAAATAAATTATTATTATTAATTTTAAATAACATGAATTGGCAAGAATGAAATTACCAATTTTAAGTTCTTCAAATTGGAAAGCTAGTCTCATTTTTTCCCCCCAAATTAGGATGGAGATTTTAAAGAAGGTCTAGCTCATCATCCCATTTTGAAGGTAATTTAAGGAGACAGATGATATATATTATTGTCAATGGCAATTATATTTCACTCAAGGACGGAGTGAGGGGGCCTGTCCTAGGCTCCTAGTAAAAATTCTTTTTTTGCCTAGCTTAGTTTGAAATTTTAGTTCGTGCACAAGTTTGATCTTGAAATTTTAGAGTTTGTGCAAATAAAGATACTTATCACTATTAAAAATTATCCTAATATGACATTACATTAAATAATAAAATCAATAAAATATGTCTCATATTCATACATTTAATTGATCTTATCATATTATAACATATCACATTCCATATAAATGGATGATCATCTCTAATCAAGATTAATAGCATTATTCAAGTGTATTTAGGCCCTGTTTGGTACTCATTTTTTTTCAAAATGCATTTTTCTCTCTTTTATTTTCAACCACATATTCTTCATTAATATAATATTACATGTAAATAAAATTTTTTCCATATTTTTCAACCACACATTTTCCATCAATTTATTATTCCAAAATGTATTTTTACATAAAAATGACTCCTAAACACACTCTTAGTGTGAAGAATTATTGCACCATTCATTAGATTATAGGGGAAATTTTCAAATTTCGAGGGGTTAGACTATTTTCAAATTGTGATTTACGTTTTGTTTTGCATAATTTATTTAAAGTCTCAAACTTATTTTCAACCACACGCAGACTCATAATTTTTCTCCTAGTAATTAATTGGATATAGTGATTTTACATTTAGACCCAACTACATATTAAAAAATATCACGGTTTGAAAGATTTGAAGCTCTTTGCAGCTTTTGGCCTCACGCCTTAGAATCCATTGGGACAATTCCTTGAATGGCGTTAACTAAGATGGGCAATTCTGCCCTTTATCTATCATTCCTAAGTAAATGCTGCCTAAGTCAAAAAGTTTCCTTTTGCAAATTCATGCTTGCTTTAGCCATGCGATCACAAGTACACAATAAAACCTAGTTTACCACTTACATAATTTCATTATCTCATTCAAACATGTAATTATTAGTTTACTTGAAGAAGACAAAGTTATCTCAAATATCGATGTAGCTTAGCAGGCAACTAAACTCAAGGGCGGACCCAGACAACTTGGATTAGGCGTTCTGAAATAAAAATTATAGGTATCTTCTAATAATAAAAAAAAAAGCTCCAAAATCTAGAGGGTCAATTGACCCTGTAAAACCTCCTCCCAGATCCACCCCTGACTAAAATAATGCAATATTTCTACCCAGGTCTATTTTTTCATTACTCCTGTAAAAAAACAGAGTTAACTAATTTTAAGTAGAGAATCGAAAAATTTATACTCCAACTAGTTCTTGCAGAAACTGGAGCCTAAATATTCTGAATTTGGAGAATGCCATGTTGTCCGTTTACCAAGGGATTTTCGTAAATTCACCTAATTAATTAATGTTATTGACTGGAATTCATTTTTCTTTTTCAAGATAGATTTAAATTTAAGATTCCTGCTGCTAACAATAATATTATTGTTCTTTTTCATTGTACTGATGATCAAGAAGAATATGTTATCATTATTTTCTACAATATTACCTTATAAATTGGAGTAAAAAACAAATTACTCTACAATGTGACGATAGCCTTACTATCATAAATTGGTGTTTAACATCACTGAAACTAAATAACATCACTCCTATATCATATATGACGTTTATCATCCTTAATTCGATTCAGTTGATACTCAGTCTGGTCCAGCACCCAGTTCTGGATTTATGATCACTCTGAGCAGCCAAAATAATGCCTATGATTAAATGCAATGGCCGAATTTTGCATAGAAGTAATTGAGAAATCAATAGAGGAGTCATCAATGGAGGTCTCCCAAGCCTTGATGTTTGATTTGACTAAACAACAACTCCTCTAATCGTATAAAAACGTATGCATTTATTTCCTACGTTTTTATCCAGCCTCTTTAGTACTAAAAAATTGTTTCCTTCCCCTAGGTATTTAAACTGGCAGATATCATTATAAATGTCCCTTGGATGCATCAAAGAAAAATGTTAAATAATCATAATTTTTTTGGCCCCATTTTGCAAGTGTAATTGATCAACCACAGCGTTTGAACATTTAAACTGTTATAACTTGGGAGACAAATTTATTTAAATAGAATATATGAGAGGTAGTGGCACACAACTATCAATTCTGAAAATATATATCTTGATACATGGTCACAATAACTATTAGTCCCTTTCTGAAAAAGATTTTATGAGATTATAAACTTTTCACACTTTATTTTTAACCATACATTTCATTATACTTATAACTTTTATCAATTTTTGCCACACATTTTATTGTACTTATCAACTTATAATCTCAAAAAACTTAAGTCAATTAAGAGCTTATTCTAGGAGACGTAGGACACTACAAGGAGTGTAGTTTACATAGAGTGGGGACCTCTTAAAAAGTAATTGAGGGGTGAGAAGGTAGCTCAAGCTAAGATTCTATTCTTAAAGGTTGAACTCCAACCTTGAGGGCCCCCCGCTCCACCCATGAAGTATCGTGAGGGGGGTAAATCACGGGATGTGCCACAGTAAGCTAGTAAATAAGAACTTGCTCGTACACTGGTGCCGACAAATAATCTAATTTCATATCTCAGAAATCGAACTCTCACACTGCGGCTGTCAGTAAGATTGAGACTACATCACTCCCGTCCTTTGCACCACTGAGTTATGCCTTGGGGGGCAAGCTAAGATTCTATTCTTGGATATACATGGAGTGTAGAAAGGTTTATGATAATTAAATGAAGAAAAAAATGTAGTTAAGACTCCAAGCCTTTCAAAAGGTTGCAGACTTTCCACTGACATTTCATTTGTTGTAGTTGTCATCCCAAATCTATCAAAACGTTGTGGATGAAGCCCGAGTGGATTAATTCCATCCATATTTCTATTAGTTTACAGAAAAACTGAATTTGACCATTTTTTAAAATAATTTTAGAAGGGGGTAAAGAGTAATATTATATTCACCACATTATAAGATTAAAATAATTACAATAAAATACTAAAAAAAGAAAATAAAATAAAAGGAAATAAATACAATCTTCTTCTTCACCTACCCAACACCGTCTCATAGCATCCCACCCCAACACCAAAATCAAAATCATGGATGCCACCACACACTGCCCGACACCACCACCTCATCAAAACGCCCAAGCATGATTTATTTGATTAAGATTTAGAATAATGTATACAGCTGCTTCATTTGCCAAGATTCATGTGATTATTGTTCTTTATTTTTTTTTTTTTTTTTTTTTTGGTAATTTCAATTGTAACAATTAATTAGTTGTTACCCTCTTCGATGGGCATCTGTGCATTTGTTGGGCATCCACATCATATCATTTGAAATTGGAATTCAAACCATGGTTTGTGTATCATGGCTCTGTGCCTGTTTAGCTCTTTTACAATTTTGGAATCGAAGTCGATTGTCCCCAATTTCAACTAAACTATGGAGCTTGTGCTAAAGGCCTTGCTTGGAACAATTTCTTTAACAATCAAACCATGAATTTCTTTAATGACTGTAGTCCCTTGGAAAACGCCATATATTAGAGGACAACTCATCACTTCCAGCTCAGCTCATCTTGGTGCCAAATTCATAGAAGAATCTAGTTACTTTAAGCTGTTAGTTTGTTAGTTAGAATATAGTTGTAAAATCTGTCTAATTGTATTTATACAGACAAGTAAAATCTATCTAATTGTATTTATACGAACAAGTGTATTCATTTCCAATTCTGTATTTTTTTGTATGCTGAATAGAAGAGATTTCTTCTCTCTAGTTCTTCTCTCTAATATGGTATCAGAGCAAGCCTTTATACTTCTCCTCCGCCGTCTGTGATTTGATCAACAAATGGCTACAGAAAATCTGAATCAATCCGCACATGATTATATATCATCATCCAGCAGTTTCGCAGTTGATGATGGTTCAAACCCCTACTTTCTTCACCATTCGAATAATCCTGGTCTAGTGCTCATTTCACAACCTCTTACAGGAAACAATTATTCTTCATGGAGCTGAGCTATGGTAATTGCATTATCTGTGAAGAATAAGTTAGGCTTTATAGATGGATCCATTTCGCCCCCTGAAAATTCTAGTGATATGCTTAATGCATGGATCCGCAACAATAACATGGTAATTTCATGGATTCTCAATTTGGTGTCAAAGGAAATATCAGCAAGCGTGATATATTCTGAGTCAGCTCATGATATTTGGATCGATCTCAAGGAGAGATATCCACAGAAAAACGGTCGACGCAAGGCGTGAGCTGATGAATCTAACACAATGCCAATTATTTGTTAGTGCCTATTTCACCAAGCTGAAAACTATTTGGGAAGAGCTTAGCAACTATAGGCCTTTATGTTCGCGTGGCAAATGTGTATGTGGTGGAAATAAAAAGCTCGTAGAACATTACCAAATGGAGTATGTTATGTCATTCTTGATGGGATTACATGAGTCCTTTGCTCAAATAAGAGGTCGACTGCTGCTAATGGATCCAATTCCACCAATTAATAAGGTTTTTGCTCTTGTTGCACAAAAGAAGAATCAAAGGAAATTGAATGCTAATGTTGATATTTCCAACATTAATGAGTCAATGGCCTTTCATGTTAAAAATGAGCCCAGGAAGTCGACTGCAGGACAACAAATGAACAAGTTTAAGAAGACGGAGAGACCTAGGTGCACATACTGTGGATACACCGGTCACGTTGTTGATAAATGTTACAAACTTCATGGCTTTCCTCCTGGATATAAACCTAAGGAAAGGGCTGGAAGATCAAGTAATCAAGCCAACTGTGTTGTGGCGGGTTTGATTTCAGATTTAGACCAAACACAACATAAGGTTGGGGATTTCATGCAAACATTGAATGCTGCTCAATATCAACATTTACTAAGCATATTGAATGATCATCTCACTGCTGCAAAGTTTGAAACACAAGAAGAAGCTGTTCCCGATCAAATTACAGGTACTTGTCTTTCTATTTCATTCAAACCAATGTTGAATTCACCCAGAATTTGGGTAATTGATTCTGGAGCTACAAGCCATATTTACTCAAGCCTTTATGCCTTTAACACAATGAGACCTGTCCAGAATGCATCAGTGACTCTCCCCAATAATGTAAAAATTCCTATCCAATACATTGCAAACATGAAATTGTCACTTGAATTTGTTCTTGAAGATGTACTGTTTGTGCCTCAGTTCAAATTCAACCTTATATCAGTAAGCTCTTTGACAAGAAAGTCCTCATTGAGCATTACATTCCTTACTGATACGTGTGTTATTCAGGTTTTGCCAACAATGAAGATGATTGGCAAGGGTGAAAGGGCTGAAGATCTTTATATCATTGATACCGGTTGCTTTAATTCAATGCACAATAATGTTGTTAGTTTTGATTTTTCATGTAATTCTGTACGATCATCAGGCAATATAAATAGCCATATTTGGCATCATAGACTTGGGCATTTATCTTTTAAGAAACTAGACATGATGAAAGATTTGTTAAAGTTCGATGTGAGGAAGAAAGATTTCCATATTCCATGTCATGTATGCCCTTTGGCCAAACAAAGAAGACTTTCATTCGTCTCTAATAATCATCTGTCTCATGCTGCCTTTGATTTAATTCACTGCGATGTTTGGGGCCCTTGCAATGTGGCTACACATGCTGGTTACAAATATTTCTTGACATTGGTAGATGATTGCACGAGGTTCACATGGGTTTATCTGATGAGATAGAAATCTGATGCTATTTTCATCATTCCTAGGTTCTTCTCCCTTATAGAAACTTAATTCAATAAGGTGATAAAATGTTTCAGATCTGATAATGCTAAGGAGTTGATGTTCTCAGATTTTTTTACTACCAAAGGTGTAATTCATTAGTACTCCTGTGTTGAAAGACCAGAACAGAACTCTATGGTTGAAAGGAAACATCAACATCTCCTCAATGTTACTCGAGCATTATTCTTTCAGTCTAGAATCCCTATCCAATTTTGGGGAGAATGCATTCTTACAGCCACTTACATCATAAATAGGACACCAGCTCCAATCTTGTAAAACAAAACTCCATTTGTATGTATGTACAAAACTCCTGTGGATTACAATCATCTTCGAACATTTGGGAGTCTTTGCTTTGCCTCTACTCTGTTGTCTCATAGAACAAAATTCCATCCAAGGGCCAAGGCATGTGTATTTGTTGGATATCCTCCAGCTATTAAAGGATACAAACTATATGACATCACTTCTAAATCATTTTTCATTTCCAGAGATGTTGTTTTTCATGAACACATCTTTCCTTTTCAATCAATCCCATCATCCACAGACATTATCGACCCTTTCTCAGATGTTGTGTTACCAAATGTACTTCAAGACTTACCGTTGGCTCATCCCTGTATAAATGTCTCCTCTGCCAATAATTCCCATGATATTCTTCCCGCTCATCACTTCAATATTGACCATAATTTAGATCAATCCCACTCACCAATTCACCATAATTCAGATCAATCCCACGTACCAATTCCTAGAAGAAGCAGTAGGCCACGTAATGCTCCTTCCCATCTTCATGATTTTCATTGCAATCTTTTAGCCAAAAATCCCTCCACTCAAAGTAATTCTTTGTATCCTTTATGTAAGTTCCTGTCTTACAAAGCCTTTTCACACTCACATGACTCCCTTCTTTTCAACATATCCTCTACTTTTGAGCCTCAGTATTATCACCAAGCAATAAAGTAAGATAACTGGAAGAATGCTATGGCTAAAGAGTTGACAGCTATGAAACCAACCATACTTGGTCAATTATGGCCTCACCTAAGGACAAACATTCTATAGGATGCCGGTGGGTTTACAAGGTCAAGTTTAAATCAGATGGAAGCATAGATCGATATAAAGCCCGGTTAGTAGCAAAAGGCTACACACAACAAGAAGGCTTGGATTTCAATGAAACATTTTCTCCAGCTGCGAAGTTGGTAACTGTCAAGGCTCTTCTTGCTGTTGCAGCAGTTAAATAATGGCATCTTTTTCAATTGGATGTCAACAATGCATTCCTTAATGGTGATTTGTTTGAGGAAATATACATGGACTTACCTTTGGGCCACCCTAAACAGTCCACAGTTCATGTTCAGGGAGAGAAATTAGCATGTAAACTTCATAAGTCAATCTATGGCCTAAAACAAGCTTCTAGGCAATGGTTTTCGAAATTCTCTCAAGCACTTCTACTGCACGATTTTCAGCAATCAAAATCAGATTACTCCCTATTCACGAAGGGTTCTGGTGCATCATTTGTTGCTTTATTGGTTTATGTTGATGACATAATAATTACTGGATTGGATACTAAGATGATTGATTCATTGAAAACTTTCTTGCACAGCCAATTCAAATTGAAGGACCTTGGTAAGCTAAAATACTTTCTTGGCTTAGAAATAGCTAAGTCGCAAAAGGTATTTTTCTCCCCCAGAGGCATTATACTTTGCAACTACTTGAAGACACCGGCTTCTTGGCATGCAAACCAGCATTGTTACCAATGGATCCTAATGCAAAACTCAATTCCTTTGAAGGAGAGCTACTGGAAGATGCATCCCTATATCGCCGACTGGTTGGCCGCCTATTGTACTTAACTATTTCTCGTCCGGACATAACCTTTGCTGTCCACAAGTTAAGCCAATATGTCTCGCAGCCAACCTCATTTAGATGCTGTACGTCATCTCTTAAGAGACCTCAAATCTACTACAGGTCAAGGATTGATGTTTGATGCATTATCCTCTTTCCAGATTAGAGCCTTCACTGATGTTGACTGGGGATTATGTGTTGATTCAAGAAAATCAGTTACTGGTTTTTGTTTGTTTCTTGGGGATTCTTTAATCTCTTGGAAATCTAAGAAGCAAACTACTGTATCTAGATCTTCAGCAGAGGCGGAATATCATGCTTTAGCGTCAACAACTTGTGAAATTATTTGGGTTCATCAGCTCCTCCTTGACTTGTAGGTCCCGATTTCACTTCCAGCTCTGGTTTACTGTGACAATCAAACTGCCATCCACATCGTCACTAACCCAATTTTTCATGAAAGGACAAAGCATATAGAGATCGACTGTCGTTTCATTCGCGATAAAGTTACCAATGGTGTCATCAAACTGTTACCAATCCATACTTAGCATCAATTGGCTGATATGTTCACCAAACCGCTATCGTCTTCTCAGTTATTCCCACTCTTATCCAAGATGGCTATTCTTAATCTACATAGTCCATCTTGAGGGGGAGTATTATAGGACAGCTCATCACTTCCAGCTCAGCTCATCTTGGCGCCAAATTCATAGAAGAATCTTGTTAGTTTAAGCTGTTAGTTTGTTAGTTAGAATACAACTGTAAAATCTGTCTAATTGTATTTATACGGACAAGTAAAATCTGTCTAATTGTATTTATACAGACTAGTGTATTCATTTCCAATTCTGTATTTTTTTGTATGAAGAATAAAAGAGATTTCTTCTCTCTAGTTCTTCTCTCTAATACCATATCCCAATGTTAAAAAGATGCGCCCTCTCTTGTTTTCAAATATGTGATGAAGCCTTCGTTGGAGGATAAACTCATCCATGATTTATTTAATATGGTGAGCCGGTTGTGGCGGTTTGAGGGTGGTGGTGTTGGTGGACGATTATGCAGTGGACCAGTGGTGTTTATTATTATTATTATTATTATTATTATTATTATTATTATTATTATTATTATTTCTAATTTTGTCATTTTGCCCTTTGAGGATTAGCTTTTAGCTCCCTTTAATAGAGGCATAGGTCTTGATGGATGCAGCAGTGATGGTGATGACAGTGATTGTGGAGTGGTGGTCGAATTTGGGTAAGGTGGTGGTGACGGTGGATTTCTGGTTTTGGGTTGGAATTGGGGGTGAGGATGAGGGTGAGGGTGAGGGAGAAGAGGATATTTTTTTCATTTTTATTTTATTTTTTTGATTTAAGTTTTTTACTTATTTATGTGAAAAAATACAAAGTTATGGTTTTGTCCTTTTATAATTGATTAAAATGTTATCAAAGTCGCAATTTTTTTTGTCAACTAATAGAAATATAGATAGAAATATTTTTTTATCAAAGGACTTCATTGAACGATTTGAAAAGTTTGAAGTGACGACTACAACAAATAAATGTTAAGGGAAAGTCTATAATTTTTTGTAAGGTTTAGGGTCTTAGCTGCAACTATCCCTTAAATCAATCACATAATTTACTTTTTCAATGTGCGTTTTATTTATATGAACATCATATTTATTGTTTTATCATGCCTTGACGTACTTAACATTTTTTACGAGACTGAACTCAAAATCTTTTGTCCACTTTAATATCTTTGTTAAATAATTTTATGTCATAAAAATTGTTGATACGAGTCAACTTATATATTAGAGTACAAAAAAAAAAAAGAAAAAAAAAAAAGAAAAACCTAAACCATCTCTGCATTTATTTCTTATTTCCAGAAACGTACGAATGTTGTTAAATTAGAAATTATCTACTAAGCATCATTGCTTAGCATAATATAAGCAAAAATGGCATGACATATTAACAAATTTGTGAATAACTTTATAATTGTTTCCGTGAATTAAACTTTATTTGTTTAATTAGTGTGTTATGTCATTGTTATTTGGTATAAGTTAAGCAACAATACTTAGAATATTATATCTCGAATGTTGGAAAATATTAATATCTCATTCTCATTTTTGTCATAAATTATTATAAGGATTTTGACAAGATATTATTAAAAGACAACCTTGGAGGCATGGAGTCAATATAAATGCATGTTAGGAGTTGGGGTTTCAATGTAATTTAAATTTAAACCCATCTTGGGTAACTAATGCATTAACACTTCGTTTTTATTTATTTTTTTATTATTTTATTATTTTTATTTTTTTAAGACCTCCAATTTATTGTATAAGAAAAACAGTGGACATCAAATTAAATTTGGTTTAATGCCTCAAATTCATTTTATACTTCAACTTCTTTTGTTTTATTGTCTAGCTCCATTCTAGGGCGATAAATGATAATTTCTTTATATTCTCGTCATTCATCAATATGTTACACTTTTAGAGTTTGATTTTTATTTATTTATATATCTTTTTTAGATTCAAAGGACGACTATTCTTAAATAAGTTGACTGTAACTACTAATATATCAATATATAATAGTTCAAAACAATAGTTGATAACACCCACAACATAATTTAACCTCTTTCTCTTCACTATCTATAAATGACAAATTTTGTATCATTATGTCATAGAAATCAATTTTTATTTCATTTAAAAAGATAACATTCTTATAAACAAGGTCACTGTCTTGATATGACAACATTCTATTCAAACAATATCTTTTTCATCGACTCTATATTATTGTTTTCCAAATTTATCTTTGTCGTCTAACCTGATAGCATTGTGATCCAAGAAGCTCATTGTCATTTTATCTAATTGTGTTTTATATTAACGATGACTCTGCTAGTTGACGACCCAATAATATCTCATCCCGATGTATAAATATCATTTTGCATTTCTATCGAGTACTTAGAGCCCGTTAGGATAATTATTTATTAGTTTTGACCATAGTCACTTCATTAATGTGGATCATTCTTTATTCAGATCGCAAGGATTTCGTATTATAATAAAAGATACAGGCACCAACAAATGTTTCCCTTTGTAAAGTTAATCAAATTCATTGATAACATACCATGTGATTGTTACTCATAGTCAACACATTTATAATGCAACCAGTTTAAATCATTACTGATTTTCTTAGTGGAAGATTCAAAATTCCTTTAATGCAACCAATTCTTTATCACTTAGTATATGACCATACTTTTCTATATATGCAATGATTGAAAGAATTAGCGATTTAAAATTTTGTAAG